ATTCAAGATTGAAGAGTTTTAAAAAATTACTGAGGAAGTAATTTTTCAGGTGGAGAGCCAGTGAATGCTACAATGATCTAAGCCTCCTGCTTGAGAGAAGTATGAAAAAACCAACACAATTGGAAAAGGCTTCCATCTGAACATGAGGAGGCAGGAATTGAAGACTTAAGTGTTCAGTCATTGTGCTCACAGAACAACCAAGCCTCATATCTTGCTTTTTCACATCACTGGCTCTGTCTCACCCCAGCACTGTGGGGCAAGAGGAAATGCTACCATGTGGTTTCAAAAGAAAAAGACCTGGGGGGCAGCCTGGGTGGCTCAGCGGTTTAGTGCCACATTCAGCCCATGGCATGATCCTGGGGAACCAGGATGGAGTCCCGCGTCAGGCTCCCTGTATGAAGCCTGCTTCTCCCTCTGCCTCTCTCTGCCTTTCTCTCTCTCTCTCATCTCTCATGAATAAATAAAATCTTAAAAAAAAAAAAAAGAAAAGAGACCTGAGCTGTGCTAGTGCAAGGTGGGAATGTGTATGTGTGTGCATACATGTGTGCCTGCGTGCATGGGTCTGTGTTGACAGGGAGGGTCCTTTATGTGTGACTAGAAATTCTCAGGATGAAGTCATGGCAGAGGTAAGCCATGTTGAATTTGATGGTGAAGTAATGAAGGCATTAAATAAGCCATGGGCGGAAGGGAGCGGTGCTTGGGTGGCTCAGTAGGTTAAGCATCTGCCTTCAGCTCATGTCAGGATCCCAGGGTCCTGGAACAGAGTCCTGCATCAGGTTCCATGCTCTGCAGGGAGCCTACTTCTCCCTCTCCCCTTCCTCCCCCCCCCACCCCCAACTTGTGCTCTCTCTCAAGTAAATAAATAGGGGCACCTGGGTGGCTCAGTGGTTGAGCATCTGCCTTTGGCTCAGGTCATGATCCTGAGGTCCTGGGATCTAGTCACACATTGGGCTCCCTGCAGGGAGCCTGCTTCTCCCTCTGCCTATGTCTCTGCCTCTCTCTGTGTGTTTTGTGAGTAAATAAATAAAATCATAAATAAATAAATAAACAGACAAATAAATAAATAATAAATAAATTTAAGTAAATAAATAAGCCAGCCAGCCAGCCATGGGAGGCAAAACACTTGGGCATAGAAATTTCATTAAAGTTCTTTTTGATGCTTTTAAAAAAAATTAAATGCAAAAAAAAAATTACGCTTGTTACTGTCACCTGCATTTTGTTTTTAATTTACCTACAACTGTAATGTGTTGGGGATAGGAATTAGGTAGGCAATTCTGCTTCTTTAATTCAGATTTCTGTGTGTCTCTTCTCTCCATCCGTTTTAGAGTAGGAAGGGGCACTGGAAGTCGTCTGGTCTGAGACTGCATCTGAGGGGCTGATGGTTTCCATAAATGCACCTAGTTTCTGCTGGAATCCTACTGCAGAATGCATATCACAAGATTGACAGCAATACTTTAAAGCATTTGTTTTCTATTTACTTAAAAATTGGACTTTCTATAACTTCTACTTAGTTTTACTTTCGATACCTTAAAAAAATACATATGTTAATGACAGACATTCAATGTCAACTTTTCCAAGTAACTGAAAGTAGCTATCCTTTCTCCTCAAAATCTAGATGGGACACATAGAAATGTTTTCTTCATTCAACACATTCTATTTCTGTAATCATTCTTCATAAGAGGTTTCCAGACCACTCACCATCCTATAACTCTCTGGTGAAAACACTCAAGTCAGAATTCACTGTTATTCTCATTTTTAAATAGCCATCATTTATCAAGAATATGCTATGTTGCAGAAAGCATTCAAATTAAATATCTCCTTTAGTATTCTCAGTAATGGCTTTTTGGGGCAAGTATTTTCACCCTCATTTTTCTGGTAAGGAAACTGAGGTTCAGAAAGCTAAAGTTGCTTGAAATCACACAGGTTGTAAGTGGATAAATCTGTTTTCATACCCGGTTTGGTGGCTTCAAAGAGTGTTATCCTGCATGAACTAATGAAGAAGATGTCGCAGATGGGATCTCTCTGGCTCAGGGCTGCTGGCCATGTTCAGTAAACCACACGCTGCACTTCCGCAGAAGCAACTGTGACCGCGTGCTGTTTCTGACACTGCTGGTTAACGTGGAGTTTGTAATCAACTTAAACCCAAAGGTTAGTTTCACCCAAACTGTTTTTAAGCCTGACCACCCTTCCCCCAATACATTTCTAATTTGCATCTGATCCTTAAAAACAGAGTGAAGGTTGGACTTCGTTCCTGCTAAACATTATCTTGCTACTTTAGTTCAGTGTCACACACTGTCCACTTCATGAGAAACCTAGATTCTGACACATGGACTGTAGCACTTAAAAAAATTGTTTAGGTGTTTGTTGTGTGTGTGCCTTCATCCAAGACACTGATAAAAACTCAGTGTAGAGGAGAACACTGAAGGACACCTTCCCTAGGGCAGTGTTTTTCAACCACTGTTTACTAAACTCCATGTGCCTCGCCAGCCAAGCTTGTTGTTCCACAGCTTGTATCTCAAGGTAAGAGTCACTCTGAATATGTGTTTTCAGCTCAATCTTGTTGCTGCCTTGAGAACCTTGCCAGTGATTCACAATCCATTTCTTTTATTCAATCAGTCAGCTACAAATAAATCCATTTCACTTTACCATGCCCTCATTTCTGTTTTCTCAACAGTGTATCAGTCAGTGGTGACCACATTTTCTCCCACTACTAATGGCTGCTGTAAAACTGAGAAGATCCTAGCCAAGGATTTTGTGTCCCAGAAAAAAAAAAAAGTTATTTGTAATTCTTAAGAATCTGTCAACTTTAGGGATGCCTGGGAGGCTCAGCGGTTAAGCGTCTGCCTTTGGCTCAGGTCATGATCCCAGGGTGCTGGGATGGAGCCCCGCATCAGGTTTCCTGTGGGGAACCTGCTTCTCCCTCTGCCTAAGTCTCTGCCTCTCTATGTCTCTCACGAATAAATAAAATCTTAAAAAAAAATCTGTCAACTTTATAAAAAAATTATTGTAAGAAAATAACTAATTTTGCCTTGTCACTCAAAATGTTCACAATGCATTAAAAGTAACGCTGAATCGTAACCAAAGTTAATTACAACATAAAAATTCTGAATTCAAAAACATAGATTATGTCTATGACACATCTGAAGGACGGGATATAAATTAAGCAAACTTAGAGCCTTGAGGCATTTATCCCCCCCCCCAAAAAAAAAAACACTATAAACTTTCTTCTAGATTTTTCTTTGGAAAGCTCTGGTAGCCATAACTAGACAACTGCCAGGTAACCCTATTTATTCCATTAATGAGACAATCAACAGAAAGAGATTCCTCAAAATTAAGAAAAAAGCTTCACTTAGATAAATTTTTCCAGAAAGTTGGATTCACACTGGCAAAATACAATCTCTTTCATGGTTACAAGTCTTTTAAGCTTCAGCGTAAAGCTCAGGTAGGAATATACTATTGGATCTCCCAGTTTCCAGAATAAATCTCTAAACCAGTAATTAGACACGTTAAGCTAAGAAATTAGTCAAAAATCAAAGCCAGAAAAATGTAAAAGATGAATCTGTGCCTTAGGTAGGACCCTTGGAACATGCACCGCACTCCCTGTAGCAGCCCATCAGGATTTGTCAGGTTACAGGGTGATCAAAATTCTATCAATTAATGTGTGATAAAGTAACTTTTGATCTAAGAATTTATTTTCAAAAAACACTTTTTTTCCTCTATGTTCCTGCAAATCTAAAATGAGTAAACCAACCACATCCCCACCATAAATGACTTTATCAACATGAAACGGACTTGAAAATCTTATGATCCAAGAAAAGGATTGAGTGCAGGACTGCATTATGCAGAATATAATAGGAATGAGGTGGGGTTACAGACAGAGAAAGCAGAGATGAATGAATGAGGAATGTGGGTATCAGGTGGGCTCGGTGCTGGCAGTGTCTTCGGAGGACTAGAAACGCATAGACATACACTGCTGGTAGTGCCCAGGAGAGACATGCAGCACACAGAGCAGAAGAGGTGCACTGTGTAAACATGTAGTGAGAGGGGATGGTGGACAGGGATGTGTGCCGTCCCTGTATGACCAAAGGCAGGGGGCTGAGGCGGGAGGAACAATCTCTTGGAGTGAAAATGTTCAATGTGAAACCGAATCACCTTGCGGAAAGAGCAAGTTGCTCCCTCCTAGCTGCAGGGAAAAGGTGCTGTGGCCAATGCACACGCAGACCTGCTCCTATGGTTTCAGTTCACGCTTGTGCGTGTGCTCTGTGAACACATGAAAATCCACTCATCTCCACTGCTATGGACAGGCTGTGTTGTTCTCATCTGAGAACTTAGCCTTGCCTGAGCCTCTCTGACAAAAGTCATTCAACTGCTCCTTCTCTGAGAGGGATTTTAGTTTTCTTTACAGAAAGAACAAAGAATAGTATACCCCTTTATACTCAAGCTGCAATGCCCACCATGATGTACATTTAAAAAATTACTCTGAGAGGAGCACACAGTTCAAATTATCCTAGTCAATACCATGTACTGAAATTAACAACTTTATCAAGTTTATACCAATTAAAAGTTGCAATTACTCAAATACAAAAAAATATCATCAAATAATTGAAAATAGAAAAAGTAAAATTATTCAAATAGAAAAACTAATCAAATAGAAAAAGCAAATTCATCTAAATGATAGCTCATAAGATATTAAAGAAAACTTGATTTTTAAGGCTGCCATTTTTTTTCCTACCATGGAAAAGTGTTTTGGAGATTTTGTTTTTAATGAAGGTCACATTTTTCTTTTGATTATAACATTTTGGAGACATTTTAAGTATTTTCAGTAATTTGATCCTGCTAGAGACTTTGGAAAAGAATTTTGTATTTAGAAGCTGGGTCTGAATAACTTTCCAGAGTTCTGAAAACAAGAAAGTGTCTTGTATGTTTTAAACCAACATTCTCCAATTCTCTGTATCTGGGACAAAAAAAAAAAAAAAAAAAGTTTTAAAATATGCACTCACCTCCACATCACAGGTATATTCTGATCCATCCAGAAGTATCACTTTGCACTGCATGCTTTTAGGCTTTTTGACAATCTTTAATGGAGATCGAGATAGTTTGCTGCTAGATGATTTCTGAGAAAGTTTATCGTCTTCCAATTGCTGATATTCGAGCTGTTTTGCAGCCCCAGCAGCGAACTCCAGTTCCTTGTCAGTGACCTGTGAAGAGCAGACAATGAACAGTTTTCACTGCAAGACAGGAAATAAATATTGCATTGCTCAGGCAAGAGCAGAGCCCTTTAGACATAGGTTTTCCTATTTCCCAGAGCAGGAGAGATGTCTGGATCAAGAGATCGTGAATGGACATGTATACATATATGGATATTTACAATGCGAATGGTTTCACTTAAATAACTTTTGCCACTTAAATGTACTAACAGGGCTTCATTTCAGTTTGACTCAGGATTTAATTTAGAAGCACAGAGTCAGCAAATGCCATCAAGACTTCGCTAAGCAAAGGAGGATACAAATGAACTCCTGATTTCTTAAAAAGGCATTGATGGTACAGGTCTTTAAGCCATTTAGATTTTATCTACTGTACTCTATTTTCTTCATTCATCAGCTCCTTCTATACTCCATGACCTCCAATGCGCCATATACATATAAAGTATCTTATAAACTTTAAGGCCTAGAGAGCTTCAAGTATTAATCTTCACAGTAATTTTACAACTGTTAAAATATTTAATTCAGCTCTAAATCAATTCAATAAAGCCAGCAGCACTGAAATTCATCACAAAGTAATCCCCTTTGGTCTGTTCTCCCCTCACACTGTAATGAGCCAGTGTAAGAGCAGATCAAATCTGTCCAAAAGCTTTAATATGCTTTCAAAGCACAACAGTGTAGTCCAGGCTAGGCTCAAAACTGCAGAGGACGTCCTATGGAACAGTTAGATTCTCCCTTGAATCAATAAATATCCTTGAAAATCTCTCTGTGCAATTATTTTCTTTACATCCTCCATCTTCATATATGTGTGTTTATAGACATTTATTTTATTGAAATACAGTTGATTCAATGTTACAACAGTTTCACATGGACAACGTGTGATAAACAACTCTATGCTTTATTGCTGTACTCGCCACACAATGTAGCTAGCATCTGTCCCGTACAATGCCCTTTTCTATTAAATGATCACCAAAAGTGTTAGTGTTAATTCAACTCATGGGCGAGACTATCATTTCCACTACTCCACAAATGCACACTGACAGACCGAAGATATACATGTTGCAGAAATTCAGTCTAGGCTCCTTGAGTGAGCATGAAATTGCTTATCTCATGAACATACTATCATCCCAAAAGCACATGAACTTGACAATAAAAGTTGATTGCAGTTTATCATTTCAACTTTTCTTTCTTATTAGTGGCTACAATTTTATGATACTCTAATCACAAGTTATCTTCTGGTATGATTTATTTTGGATTTTAGGTATGGATTTCTGTTTTTTTTTTTTTATTTTTTTTTTTATTTTTTTATTTTTTATGAGAGTCACAGAGAGAGAGAAAGAGGGGCAAAGACACAGGCAGAGGGAGAAGCAGGCTCCATGTACCGGGAGCCCGACGTGGGATTCGATCCCGGGTCTCCAGGATCGCGTCCTGGGCCAAAGGCAGGCGCCAAACCGCTGCGCCACCCAGGGATCCCTGGATTTCTGTTTTTGTAATGTCATTTTCTATCTGGTTTTCCACCCAGATTACACAGTCCTTTCTTCCACTACCTTGCACAGGAATTCAGGGCAAAGTTGTGAGAAGTTCTTCAGAATAAAAAGTCCAAATTGCTGAGCGAAGAGACCAAGAAAAAAATGGAAAAATCAACTTCAAAGGCCAGAATAGTTGAGAAGGCTAGAGGTAGCTAAAACAAGTAAATAAAAGAAAACCTGTTCTGGCAACTTGAATCAACTTTTTTTTTTTTTTTGACTGTTAGTCTTTCATATCAAAGTATTAAAATAGTACTGCAAAAAAGTCAAACATATAAAGATGGGCTGCCAAAAAAAGTCAAGCATTAATTTTGGCCTTAAGTTAGCCAAAGAAGTTTGGTAACCTTAGAGGTTTTTTTTTTTTTTAAGATTTCTTTATTTTACTGAGAGAGAGAGAGAGTGAGCAAACAAGCATGGGGAAAGGGGCAGAGGCAGAGAGACAGAATCTCAAGTAGGCTCCCCGTTGAACACAGAACCAGATGTGGGTCTCCATCTCATGATCCTGAGATCATGGTCTGGGCTGAAATATGTTGTGGGATGCTTAACTGACTTGAGCCACCCAGGTGCCCTGGTAACCTTGGGATTTTATATCATATATTTGCTAAGTGCTTTATAACTTAAATAACATTTTAGCACTTTTTAAAAATTTTATTTAGAGAGAGAGAGAGAGTGTGTGTGAGAGAGCGAGCATGAGAGGGGGGAAAGACAGAGGAAGAAGGAGAGAGAGAATCTCAAGCCCTGAGCCTATGGGGCTCAATCTTAGGACCTTATGATTATGACCTGAAGCCAAAACCACGAGTTGGATGCTTAACTGAGTGTGCCACCCAGGTACCCCAAGACTTTTGCACTTTTAATTCACATTTTTATCTCATCACAGGAAAAGTCAACAGAAGCTATGTTTTCATTTAAATCTTACTACCTGGAATCAACATTTTCTCTGTATTAGGGAAGATAAAATTTCATTTTTCCTCTAATAAAAATTATCTGTATACCCCCAGCTCCCTAAATAAGCTTTCTGGGCTACTTACAGGTCAACTCCAGACACCCCTGAAACCACCAGTGTTCAAAGGGAGGTGTTGTTTCCAAAATACTTAAAGCACAAACCCATCATTGAGCCTCTCATGTCCATTTTTTCAACAAGTTCAAAAGAGCAGACCAAGGACCTCAAATGAAATGTCCATTGTACTCACATATAACTCATTACAATTTAAAAATATCAGTATTATCCCTTTAGGCAAACCCTCTATTTCACTTAATCCTCATGATATACCTAGGAGGTAGGCATCTAGGTCTCCTTAGCCTCATTTACACACAGGAGAGAGAAAGGGGCACAGGGCACAATCTCCACAAATTTCCTCCAGGTGAGAAAACTAGTAACCTGGAATTCAAATCCGGCCAAGGCCGTATTTTAATCATTACTGGCGACCAAAATGTACTTGATTTCATCTCCAACATAACTGGGCCCCTAGTATGAATCAATGAAGCCAAGAGCAGAAGGACCTGATAAAACAACCTTTTCTGATCGTTTCATCTTGTAAACGAGGAAGCTGAGGCTCAGAGCCTGAACAAGTTCTCAGAGATCCCTAAAATAACTAGGGAAGAGGTGGGATTAACTAGTTCTCCTGACTCTGCAGCCAGTTACTTTTCTCTCAAAGGGCTTTAGTATCCTTTCTCTCATTTTGTTTCAGATATCTGACTTCCAGATGATAAAGTACATGTATCATGTCTCAGCACAGAAACTCTTTCTTCTGTACAATTATCTCCCACTTGCACATTTATTTCATTTTAGTTAAGAGGAAATAACTGGAAAAAAATCCAGTCTACTAATTTTACATTTCTGCAGGTTTAAAAACAATCAAAACACCACCATCCTCAGATCTCCAAAAAAAGAAACCATCAAGGAAAACCATGATGACAAGAACGGCTCCTTAGATTTTATTTAACAAGTTGGAAGGATAACCCCCAGCTCCCCATCACGAAACATTTTAGATCAGACACAGCATCCATTTACAGAGCATAAAAATAAATGTTATTTTTAATACTGCTTAAAAGCAGAATATAAATACCATGGGAAAAGAAATAATCAGGTTGTAAATATAGTTTAATGTTTTAATAATGTGTTGTGCCTTCCAAAGAATTTCCCTAACATGCTGATTTCCTGTCTCGTCTCTCAACCTCTTCTAAAATTCTAGCTTGACACATATACCTTTAACCAAGTAAAGGTCAATGGTTTGCAAGGACTCCCAGATTTGCTTCCTATGTGAGCTAGTACCCCAACACATGGTGATTTCAGGTTTGAAGTTTTAAAACTAATTTAAAACTAATTTAAAGATGGATTCATTTAAAGCCCAAGTATAAACCATGCTTTATAGTTTGTATGAAGAGTTTTAAAAGAAATATTTAAACTGTCACATTACATTACTTGTGACAACTTAAATATGTCTAGAGTTGAACATATACACAAATAAGAGAGGGAAAGAGATCACCTGAACATTCAGTAAAAGTTGCTGGCAACAGGAGGATCAGAGTGACTCTGGGGAAGAATCAAAATAGCTCTAACCCGGAGGCCTGAATAACAATCAGGAGCCTAATTAAAGTCAGTGATGTGGTGTCTAGCCCTCCTGTAAACCCAGATAAAACCAATAACCCACAGTCCAGATTTCAGTGTGGGTTTAAGTGCTTTAATCAAATGAAGGAGTTACCAAGCAAGGTTGTGGAATGTCATTCATTGAAAGTCTTAAAATTGCATAAATTTCCATCTGCCTGGGACCAGAAAGGGGAAACTCATGAACCCTCATAGTTCCCTCTAGCGCTGAGAGACCAAGGCTGACTCAGACCCTGGAAAAGATCAGTAAACATTCCTTCATTGGTTTTCTGGGTGATGCTAGCAGGTGCAGGGAGTAGGGAGTGGTGGTGGTGGCCAGGGTCCCAGGGCTCACCTCCTTCCTCACTGGGGTGCTGTGTGCCGCGGCCTCGAACTGTTCCAGGACCTGGTGATGCTCCTCCCCACTAGGCTCGGGCCCTGGCCCCTGTGGTGCCCCCACAGGCCCCTGCGCCCCGGCTGCCTCCTGGGGCTCGGCCTCCTGCTCCGGCTTGGATTCCGAGTCTGAGCCAGATTCGGTCGTCATGGTTGATTGTTCTGCAAACAGAAAATGGCAAGGTCCCATCACTTGGTGTAATTACCTTCCCTGGGCACAAAAACTAGGATGCTACTGTGAAAGGCTGCACAAGACCACAGTTTAAAAAAAGGGAAACAGGCATGCAATCAAAACACAATCCTAGGGCACCCATCCAATAGACAACTTACACTGACCACAAAGATGGTTCAAAGTTAACATTTAACTAGAAGTCAAAATTTATTTGTAAGGATCACAGGTTTTATTCCTATTAGATTTCGCCACAGATGGCCATAAAATGACATTAAAGTAACGTCATAATAATTACATAACTTAGACATTTAATTTCAGAAAAAATGAATCTGCTTCATCAGCTGGATCTATATTTTAATCTCTGGGAAGGATGATCTAATAATGGAAGTGGATATCCTTTCTCCTTCCCTATCTCTACAAAGGGCCCCTGCTCTGCCTTAAGAACACCTGGATCTATTCTTTCTTCCATGGGCAGGTGGTACCCTTCTTCTGGTTTCTCAGAACCCTGTGAGATCCTTTTGAATGAATAGTGACAACTAAGGTGGAGGCTTTGACCATGAGGTGGAACCTGTCCCCAAACGGACAAGCCATGGAGTGGGGGTGGGGGGCTGGAGGGAGGGCTGGGAGCCTTAGCTTTCCTTCCTTTACCAGTGAAAATTCACAGCTGCTTCCTGGCTTCCTCCTGTTTCCCCCTGGCAGTTCAAGGGACTCAGCTCATAAGGGACTCAAACAACAGATCTTAATAATCTTCTCTTACACCCAAAAAACACCTTCTAAAACATAACCACCATCTTGTAATGGTTTGCTTAAGTCAAGACACTTAGGTATTTTGTGCCTTAGTTTCTACATTTGTCAAACAAGGGAAGTGAACTTGACCATATCCAAAGAACTTATTTTCTGGGGACTACTTCCTCCCCTTACTAATGCTTAAAGCTGTTTTTTTTTGCTCGAAACAACAAGACAGGAGCTATGCCAGGAGCTACTGTGTCATTTCAAGTAATTTCTTTTCTCAAGTTAGGGTAAATATCTCAAAAACAAATATCCCAGACTGTCATATGATTTCCCCTCCTAATTCTAATTTTATGGTAAAAATATCAGGAACAAAGAACTAGTGTAATACTTTAAGCAAATGATACACCCATTAGTATAATACAAAGTTATGCAAAATACTACTCCACAGTAAAATCACCATTTAGTTCCTATCTTTACAATACATACCAGAATATGGTTGATAACTTGAAAGAAGGGGGAACATACAAATACCAATCCATGTTATAAACTAAATGCTACATCCACATTTTCTATTGAGGGTTACTATTTACAATCACCAGCTATTCTTTCTATTGAATAAAAGACATATCAACTTGGTATATGCTCAGTTGCCCAAAGCATATGTAAACATCAAGACCAAACATTGAACAAGACAGTGATCCAAACAAAACTAGCAAATTTTTTTTCCTCTTACATTTTAGATTTTTAAGCAAATCTTGAAAGTAAATACTATATTCCTGTCTGTATGCTTTTACTAGAAAGTGTTAGGTCCACAGAAAAGGCAGAGGAGAGGAGGAAAGGTGGCAGTATTGTGTAATTCAGAGCCTATAATCAAATTTGACTTTTTAGAAGGAAGAGGGTTAATTTTAATAGTCAATTCAACTTGCTGAACTCTCAGTTAAGTACCAAATACAAGTCAAGCACTGCCCGTGGTTTAGAAACAGAAATAAATATATTGTAATGCCCTTTCTCACCCCAAGGAGTGGAAGAAATGGGCTTTTCTCAGAATCCATTTTCTCCATCTTCCTTTTAGTAATTAAATTTTGTTTTAACTGATACTCCTCCACCCAGCTTGAGACCACAATGAGTTAAGGCCATGTGATGAGGTCTGGAGAGAATATGTATCCAGTGTTAAGGTCATCTTCATAAAGGCAAGGGCCTTCGCCCTAAGCCTCCTTTTCTCATTGGCTGGGAAAAAATGATTGACATGGTCACCACAGACTCAGTAATGGAGGCCCCAAATTCAGGAGGATGCCAGCGCCACCCTTTTCAACCTGGGCCCCTGGATGAACTCATGGAGCACAGCTCAGCTACTCTGGATTGTTCCATGAGGCAGAAATCCGTTTCTGTCTTCTTTGAACATCACTACTAGCTCGGGGCCAATCTAATACATATTCTTCAGACTAAAATTCTACCAAAATATAGTCATGCTCTAGCAGTTTTCATCTCAGTAAAACAAAGTAGCCCTCCCTGGATCTCACATCCTGCATCAGCTATGACCATATTTCTTCTCTTTCTACTCCTAACTTCCCCCCAAAAATCTGTTGACTTTTACTGTCTTCTACTTCCTCCCCTCTCCTCTCCCTGCAAGGACTCTCATATTGAGGGAGGACAATGCCATGGACTACCCACTCTTGTCTGTCCTCATCTCATGTCACCTCTTAGCAGCCCCAGCCCACGTGATAAGGCTTTCCTTGACAGCCCGTTGCCTTCCCCGGGGATTCCACCCTCCTGCTTCTCTGTTCTCTCTCAGGCTACACCTCATTCTCTTTCACAGGCTGCTTCTTATCCAACCTCTGTATGTGAGAATCTCCTGGAAAACTCGGTTCAGGATCTCTCCTCTTCTCACTTGACATTTTCTATCTAATGCTATACTTTCTCAGGGCTTTAAATACTTTCCAGAAGCCAACTGCTTAAATCTTTGGTCTGAACCTCTGTTCTGAGGTTTAAAACTGAACTGCCCACTTGACATTCCTCACTGGTAGCTCATAAGTATCTCTAGATATTTCTCTCCCAAGTCTGTTCCTCCCCACCCTCCTCTTCCTCATCCCAATAAATGACAATGCCAGAATTCCAGAAATGAGCCCTGACATTTACTTTTCCTTACTTTCTCTATTACAGGACAAAAAGTTTTGCAAAATATATTTTGTAAAATATATAATTTTACACATACATACTTCTATAAAAACATATATTTCCAAAACAGATCTCTAATTAGTCCCCTGCCATTATGCAAGCTATCATTTCTTTCCTGAACTCCCTAATAAACCTCCTCTTCTCTGTCTATTCCTGCCCACCTCTATTCTGATCTTCATAAATCTAGCCATAGCACTCATGTTAATAGCTTTCTGAAGTGCTTAAAGAAAAATCCAAGCTCTTGATTGCCAAGGCCATCAAGCACATGCCTAGGCCTCAACAACCTACCCATGCACAGGGGCACTGCTTACCCTTCTCTCCCACTACAATCAGGCCAGGTGATCTCCTTTTGGTTTGCAAAGCCCAGCAAGGTTTTCTGCCTCCAGGGTTTTTAGAGGCTGTTCTCTGTGAGAACATTTTTTCCTCTGCTCTTCAAGTGGCCAACTCCCCATTCCTCAAGTGTCAGCTTGAGAGGCAGTCCCTTTTTACATTCTATGTGTGGTACTAATACCAAAATAGTACCTAGACCATAGTAGGTATTTGAATAATTATTTGAAGAATAATAAAATCAACCCATTATCATATCTATGTGAATGTGGAATAACTCTTCCTTATAGTCTTTAACCATTGTAAAATCTCTCAAGTGAGCAAAAAGTAGGCATTTCTATGTTTAATGGAAAACAGAACTCAGTTACAACTTTCAGAGCTGAAATCTCCCTACAAGGTAATCGATGCTATTGGTCTGATCACATGCTAATGCTTTTACCAGTAGGCCAAAGTGTTTTCCAAAAACTCAGAAAATGTTTAAGTGGTTTAGAGAATCTATAAGAGTAACTAAAGAGTCACTAGATCATAAAATCAAAAAAGAAAATGCAAACGACTACTAGAAAAAGTACATTTTAAAAAGATGCTTAATTTTCTTCTCAGATAGGGCAGTTCTTACATATAAATCATATTTTTAAAATGCTGGATATCTTTAGTATTTATTTTCTATGAATATCATATTTAAGATTGTCTATTATGTGTGTTTCAAATAATAGCTCTAATGTAATAATTACTGTCAAAATGGTTAGAGAAGCAGAACCAGAATTGTATCTCAAAATTTAAACATTTTAGTTCTTTTCACTTTAATATCTATGTATAATTCTTTATAGACCTAATACATGAAAATAATTAGTAGCAAATAAGTTGTCATGTGTCATGTGTCATGTGAGCCTGGATAATGGACTTGATTTGTCTCCTGCTTCCTCTTCCATGAAACAAGGGGTTCAGCCTAGGAATTAGTGATGACTGAGTGATATGCATGTGGGGAAGGGAGTGAAAGATACTAAACTGCACATCTTTTGACAGTTTAAGCCAGAAGTCTGTCATCTCTTTCATCATTTTTTGTAAACATAAAGAGTTTTTACACAAATGTAGTTGTAATATTGTGTGGACACATCAATGCACTCTAAACTTTAAAAAGTTGTCCAATATGTGTTAAAATAGGAATCTTTCTAAACACATGACCTTAGCCTCTTTCTAAACATGAACTAAATAAAAGAGAAAAATTAATACAAGGACATCCTAATTTTGAGTTTCAGTGTTATTATTCTGGTCATGAAACCATTTTGCTACCTGCTTTTCTCTTTGATTTCATGACTTGTCCCTAAGGCAGAGTCAGCTCTACAAAAGCCGAATAAAATTGCAAAATAGAACCCAGCAACCACCTATCAACTATTTAAATAATAAAATAACCTACCATTATTTCTACCTACAGATATACCATATAATCTCTTACCTGTCATAGATCACATAAATCACAGAACCTCAAACCCTGAATAAACTCCTATGCACTTGTCAAATATTTAAGTATATTACATTCCCCAGCACATGCATAATATAATGAATGAAAATCATCGCTGTTTCTTGACTAATTGTAATAAAACTTTCATTGCTGCTGAGGGATAGTATAGTAATAAACCTTAAAAACGTAATGCTTTTAAACTCTAGAATCTCACTAGAATCAATAATTCCACATACCTAAAAGGGCATAAGTTCAGAGTGTGCCTATGAGAAAACAGCATCGACAGCCTATATTAGT